ACGCTTTTCTGGATCTTTGGTTCATGAGTTAAGCGTGTTTGTACAATTATTAGACCATGCGGCGGACTGGCGGCCATTTTTTTTATTTGACCTCTCAGGGTCATCAGAGGTCAAATCAAAATGTGACATAAACTCACTGAAAGGGATTAAGGTGCGTAAATTCCTAAAGAAATTTGAGAACATAGGAGAGAACAAATGACAAATAAATGGGAAAACTTTTTGTAACCATTCAAAACTTACTATTCTTTAGTCAATTTTGACCATGACCTTGACCTAAATGCAAAACCCTAAGTTCAAGCGATCTCAAAAGTATTACCAAATGAATTGGCATCCCCAAATTAGTTGGAAATGACACCTTAAATGTTTTTCTGGACTATTTGGTTCAAAAGTTAAGTGTGTTTGTACATTAGACCATGAGGAATAGCGGCCATTTTGGATTTGACCTCTCAGGGTCATCAGAGCTCAAATCTGACTTCCCTCCACATCTGAAAATAAATCTTATGGTCTAAACTAACTATGCTAGAAGTTTCATGCTTTTCTCAAAAAGTGCACAATTTTCATTATATTGGGAGCTTATCCGCTGTACTATTTCAAACTAAAAAGCAAGGACCATAAAAAAAAAAATCCTCTACCAATCTCTCTCTCTTACACTCATTGGTCCATATTATTAAACTTTAAATTCCTAAGATAGTGTTCAAAGTCTGAGGTCAAGGTTTCCATTATCTTGGACACTGGGTCAGGTTGAACTAAGTTATTTATAATACAGACCATCCATTTCACACTGCTCAAAGGTACATTTTTGGCATTGGTTACCAAAATGAATGGAATAATGAATTCATGATTTCAAACTTTAAAGTTCTTCACTACACAGTTATAACTATGATCGTAGCAATGATCGTATTATATATAATTATTTATGGTAATTGTATATACTTATTTATTTACTTATTATTATGTACTTATATACTTATTATATATATATTTTTTTTTTTTTTTTTACTTAATAATATTAATGATTTACTTAATAATATTAATGATTTAATTCATCCATGTGTTTTTTTACCTTGTTATATTTTTTTTTTGTTATGCATTTTATATTGTTAACTGACTTGTTTAGTCTTCGGACTTTTTAATCAGTACTTGAATAAAACCAAAATATCTATCTATCTATCTATCTATCTAACTATTGCTATTACCAACCAGTTGAAAAAAACAACTTTTTGGCAACCAATTAAATGCTAACATTCACCATGAGCATATATTTGCTTTTATTGCATTTAAAGGAAACCAAAACCTTCATACTAAGTTACTTTTATTGTAAAGTTTAAGATATTTGAAAAATATCAGTGAAAATTTGAACAAAATCGGGCAAGGAATAAGGAAGTAAGATGGTTGGTTGGTTCTTCGTTTAGATGGCGCTCTTCAATCTCAAAGATTATTTGCGCCAGTCAATTTCGTGTATAGCTTTGGCGTGGGCTTCGGAAATCAAGCCCACGAGCGACTTTCCTTGGTGAAATGAAATTAATAGTGATATGGTTTTAAAAAAAAAAAAAAAAAAAAAAAAAAAAAAGCTGCAATATTAAAATTGCATAAAATGCACATAAAAGGCGAGATGGGAGTTAGTTGCAATTGTTCATGGAAAAACCGCAAATACTTCATTTTATATATTACAGGATCGACATAAGTTAAGGGGATCCCTGATAGCTTTAAAAGCTATCTAAAACGATTAGTATCGTATATGTAACCCAATAATTCACGAGTAAAAATTGGGTTAGACATCAATAATTGTTTCAGATTGGGGTTGTTCAATTTAATCCTTTCTTTTAAGAGACGTCTATCTTTGTCGTATTTTGTACAATAGAAAATAAAATGTTTAATTGTTTCATCTTCTTGACAAACTTCACAAAGACCAGTATCGTGTTGGTTAATTTGAAAAAGGTAATAATTTAAACTACAGTTACCTACTCTTAGTTGTTGTATCAAGCATTCTTCTCTGCGAGATAGGCCTTGTCTATGTATGGGCTTTGAAACGTCGCTATGCAAAGCATATAAAAATCTACCGTGTTCTGCATTGTCCCATTCTGCTTGCCATAATTTGTTATAATGGATCAAACGAGAGGCTGCCAATTCACTTCTTGTATTTGGTATAACTATGTCTATACACCTTTTCATGGCTCCTTTTTTGGCAGCCCGATCTACGATCTCATTGCCCCTAATATCGCAATGTGACGGAATCCATTCAAAAGCAACACAAACATCCTTAAACTGCAAAATATTAATTATGGATAAAATTTCATTTACAATAGCACATCTAATAAAGTATGAATCGATCATTTGTAAAGCTGACAAAGCGTCGCTAAAAATTACCACCGAAGAGGATTCAATAAATGTATTAATCCACTCTAGTGCCATTAGTATGGCCACTAGTTCTGCTCTCATAATACAGACATGGGATAATCTAAAAAATTTCACCACATTATAATGAGACACATAAAATGCGGCTCCTGTCTTCCCATCCTCGAGTTTAGAACCATCTGTATATATATGTAAAAACCCATTCCATGAATTTCCAATGCTATCTAGAACAATCGATTTTATTTCAAATGGAGGCATTTCCTTTTTTTGCACTTTGCCATGGTGTTCGAAAGACACTTGTGGTCGTGCTAACCGCCATTCTGGGATTTTCGGCAATAAGTTGGTTTGCCCTTCCACCACTACTTCGTCTCTAAAGGATCGCAGTTTAAAAGGTCCTTCTCCTATCTTCCATTCTAAGTTATTTAAATCATAGTCATCACCCAATACTTCTTTTGTTGGGTGGTTTAAAGTACTAGACAGTAAATAAACTCGAAAGTTATCATTTAACAACCTTCTACGATATCTCAGAGGCAGCTCCCCGGTCAAAACTTGTAAAGCCTCCAAGGACACATTGTGTATTGTGCCTGTAATAATTTTTAAGGCTCTGTATTGGATAGAGTCAAGTTTTTTTGTTAAAGATATACAAGCAGAATCATACATTTCACTCCCATAGTCCAAAATGGATAGGATAAGTCCTTTATAAATCATCATCAAAATCTCATACTTACTTCCCCAGGGGGTGCCGGAGACACAACGTAGCAAGTTTATTCTTTTCTTACATTTATCAATGATAGAATCTATATGGACAGACCAAGTTAAATTGGAGTCAAACCTCACACCAAGGAACTTATACTGCTCGCATATAGGCAGATTATGTCCTTTTATTTGTAGAAGAATATCTTTCTTTTGTTTGTTGGTAAAGACTAATACTGCAGATTTGGTAGGGGAAACGTTTAACTTCCACGTCCAACACCATATCTCAAGCTCATGCAGGGCCTCTTGTAATTTCCTGCGGGCCAGCTCTAAATCCTTATTTGAACACCAGATTGCAATGTCATCAGCATAGCAAGATAATTTAACATCACTTACATTTATCTTGAGATCATTTAACATTAAAGTAAATAATAAAGGACTTAATGAACTTCCTTGCGGGATTCCATTTTCTAACGTGTAGTGGCGAGACATATAGTTATTTATCCTCACATTAGAAATCCTACTCAATAGAAATGCTTTTATAAAAAGTAACATTTTTCCACCAATGCCTAAGATAGATAATTTTCTTAGTAGACCTGTTTTCCATAGCGAATCATATGCTTTTTCTAAATCAAGAAAGACCGCTACGGTATATTTTTTACTTTTCAAGGATATATGTATGTCCGTCTCCAATCTCACTAAGTGATCTTTGACATTCCTATATTTGCGGAAGCCAGATTGAATAGGATTTAATAGTCTGTTTTTTTCTAGAAACCACGTCAGGCGATTTTTTATCATTTTTTCCATAATTTTAGAGAATGTTGATATCAACGAAATCGGCCTATAAGAGGTCACTTGAGTCGGATCTTTTCCGGATTTCAAGATTGGTATTTGAATAACCTCATACCACTGATGTGGAAAAAGTGAGATTTTCCAAATGTCATTATACAAGTTTAATAAATACACGAGTGCCTTGTTCGGCAAATTCTTAATCATAATTAAATAAATATCATCCTTACCGGATGAGGAGTAAGAGCTTTTTGAAATGACTAGTCACTAGAGGGCGGTATTCAATTTGATGACATCATCTGTGGACAACTCTCCATGCCTTTTGAACATCAAATTTCATGTTTTTCCTTCTTTCTTGTGATTTAGATAATGTACTCCCCTGAAAGCAAGATATAGAATGCAAAATGATATTCTACTTCACATGTTATGAAGTCGGATCCAGAACACAAATAAATACGAAGAAAACAAAAAAATTGTGAAATGTTATGTACAAAAGGCATGGAGAGTTGTTCACAGATGATGTCATCAAATTGAATACCGCCCTCTAGTGAATAGTCATTTCAAAATGCTCTAACTTTCTTATTCCTTGCACGATTTTGTTCAAATTTTCACTGATTTTATTCAAATATTTTAAACTTTACAATAAAAGTAACTTAGTATGAAGGTTTTGGTTTCCTTTAATTGGGATAGTTCTTAGAGAGATATTTTGTAAATAAAATGTCTTCTTTTAACAAATAATGAGTTTTAAACTGAAATATTAAATGATGTTTGATTATATAATTATGTCTAATGTCAAATGTTATCTGAAAGTTATGAATGAAATGGTTTTTAATCACTCATGCATGAAATATGCATCATATGAGTTTCATCAAATGAAAGAAGAGGATCTAACCTTTACAAATATGTGTCATTTATTAATTATAATTGTGATTAAGTTATGATAAAACATTGATAATTCTTGGTTTTGTTTTTTCTGGGACACACTGTAGAATGATAAATTCAGTGCACTTAAAGTAGTGCACTTAAAGTATCGCCCTACACAAATGGAAACAGGATAAAGGACAAAGGACAAAATACAAGGCAAAATGTTTAGTATACGAAGAACAATAACATGGTAACTAAGAATTAATCATGTTTTGTCCAGTATGTTTAATGAAAATGTGGTAATACTTTTTTTTCAAAGGTAGCAGCCCATTATTCAATCAAATGCTTTAATGTTCACAGCCTCTTCTCACCAAATGGAAATGTTATTGTACACAGCCTCTTCTTATCCATTTGCTCTCCTACAATGTGACTGAACTGTGCAACCTTTATATTACAGTATTCCCCAGTGTTTCCAAGTCATCAAAAATAACCTTTCCTGAAATAAAATGTCAAGTTTTGTGGAATTTGACTTTTTTGTTTTCTTTCATGATTTGTTAGGGAGGCTAATGTCATAGGTCTACATCTTTTGTAATACCAGAATATCAACTTTAAACTTTAAAACAAAATTACACTTAATTCAGAGAAAGGGTATAAAACTATAGGTTTCTGAAGCTAAACAAATAATAAAACAAATAATATATAATTCACTTTTTCAGTATTCCTTAAATTCCTTTTGATTCAATTTATTGGATTTTCCCTCAATTTTTTTAAATAACTTGTTTTCCTTAAAATTTCCTCGACAAAAACCTGAATTTCCTGAAGTCTTTGACATGTTAAATTCCCAAAGCTGAGTCTCAACTCTTCTGGAATGTGGACTTGGGACAAACAATTATCAAGCTGTTCACTGACTGGACCATGGACTGCCCCATCAATCAAATCACACATAATTATCATCATCAAAATAGGGTATGCAACTATGCATGTGAAGTTCATACACTACCATTATGTAGAGATCAACACAATATACAAGTATTATTAGAATTAAATTTTTAAGAAACATCTTTCCCACAGTCCCAAGCACTTCGTACATTTTTTGTTTTACTTGATTCACTCCTCATATGCATGTAATGTATGTACAATGAATGTTAAAAACAAAATGGAGTTAATCTCTTATCAACTACAACACTATACAAAAACCAAATTTACCAGAAATAGCATGGATGTACTTCTTTTTATAAGATTGTAAATATATCTATAGAATATATGACATGTTAAATATATTCAAAGGCCAAATTGTTTTCTATGTGATAAAACATGATATGTATGCTATTAATATCTTTAAATTTATCAATATAAAGTAATTGTTTATTTCCACAGTACAATATATACAAAAATATACCAAGAATTATTTGACACTATATCATCACGCAGGTAGCAAATGCCTTCTAGTCCCAAAGGCATTTCCTTGGCCCAATAATAAATGCTTACCATAAGTATCTACCATCACTAAACTTCAGAAATATTTCATTTGATGAACCATTTTTTAATCATGATTCAGTGAAATTTCTTGCAAGAAAATAAATGATATGAAAAAAAATCAATCAAGTAAGGCAATTGATTCTCTTCACTGATATCAAATAAACAAATTATGTGAAATACAAGAGAAGTATTAACCATTGACTGCTGTACACATCACTTAGAATTAAAACCATTAGCTGCAGTAGAACACATGTATACTTACATATAGAAAAGGAATATTACAGACACAATAACAATGAATGAGAAACAGTTGTATGTATGTTTCAATTGCACCAGAAAGAAGTTGTATGTATTCAAGATAAATAGCTATATCCATTAAGTTATAGACAAAAACAAGGTAAGTTAAAAATATAAAAAACCTTAACAGAATACCTTACTTTAATATACAGTCAAACCTGCTTTAGTGACCACCTGTATAGAAAGACCACCTGTCTATAAAGACCTAATTTTGTTGGTTTCCCTTGAATAGGGTTTCTAAATTAAACCTGTACTAAAGGAACCCTTTACATTAAAGGTAAAGACCAGTATTGGTAACGCCCCAATTTCAAAAAATGAAATGGAAGCTCTCATTACCAATCATGTAAAAGAATACGTTTTGACTAATACATGATGATAACAAATTTGCCGGGAAACCGCCTACTAATTCATATATTTGGTAAATTTATTTCTCTCATGGTCGTGTGAGAGAGATAGGGTAGTCCCATATACATCTTTCTGTGTATAGTGCTTGTAACTTTACGAAGAATGGGCCAAATTTCTTATCATTTTGATGATTCCAGAACCTTGCAGATGCTAGATGCTAGATGATCAACCTTTTCTGATCGATTCCACAACGTTTCTTTCACAATGCCATCGCATGACCATTACTGGTCTTTACCTTTAAGACCACCTGTCTATAAAGACCACTTTTCATATTCCCTTGAGTGGTCCTTATATACAGGTTTCACTGTAGTAGGTAATTAAGCCATGTTTTTGTTGAATATATATATTTTAATGTTCATGCGAGCCCTGTGGTTCAATCACAACTATCTGTATGGACACACAGATTCAAATACCGGTAATTAAAAGAAAGAAAGAAAAGGGTTATCTAAATTCATGATTGGAATGAGCCTTACATTGTCATAGGGGAAAGGGGAACAAAAGTAGTTTAATGTTGTTTCAGTTTTGTTTTAATTTTGTTTTGTCATTTGTATGATATTCAATGTAATCAACTTACATCAAATAGTATTAGATAATAGAATAGAAGGTACTCTGGATTCAGACAATCGGGATTCAAACACACTTCCGAGCACCAGGGAATGTGTACCTGAAAAACTCCATTGTTAATCACAAAATAAGGCACAGAATCCATACAAACAACATCAAGATTTATATAAATTAATTCTTTAAAAAAAAAATCACAGCATGACACAAACTATTATCAAAATATAAACTTATGAAAGATATCAATTACATGTTTACACTCTAGCAAGATTCTGTTCAGTTCTTTTCCTACAGCTAAAATTGACAATCTGTTAAAGGTAATACAAAGTTTTGGGATGGGATCATGAATTTGGTTCAAATGAACATGATGTAAGCATATGCGATCCTACAATATTCAGTGATCGTTGTCGCGGTTGAAATCGAGTCTAAAGTTATGAAATTGTAAATAATAAATTATTTATGTTATATAGCTCCCTCTCAAGGTCAAGATATTAATTAAGCTATAAAATAATGTTATTGACTAAAATCGGCCAATTAGCTATTTCCGTTTGGAAATTGTATATCAGAACTACATATTCTGAGATTTTCATGGTCACAGCTACCAGTGTACGGCCGTAGACGCTATTTGAAATTTATCAAAATTTACCGGGAGCACCGGTAAATTTTTATATTCCATTTTTCTCGAAAGGAAAAGTGTTTTAGGGGCAAATTTTTCTTGTGCTTATAATACATATACAGGGGCATCCAAATATATCAAAATTGTAAAGAATCACTTTCCACCCAATTTTCAAATTTCCCAAAACTTTGTATTACCTTAAAGTAATTCCACTTGTATACTGATCCTGTAAATAAGAACCAACTTTGATCATATTCAGCATTTATTTTCAGTCGTTTTGTTGACTTCACCTATCCTTCAGGGTTCTACTCCCTTTATTACTTAACCAAAACTGTCCCCAGTACTCAATTCAAAGCTTTTAAACTGTTAGTCAATCAAGGAAAACACTATGGACAAATGAAACAAGACGTAGATATACGAAGCATGTAGACTTGAAAGAGGACTAAGCAACATACCATCGAACAAAATATTATAGTAAACGAAGATTCAATTGATTACTGACATAATTAAAAGGAGCACTACAACACAATTATTTATCCCTCATATAACAAAAAGCACACTAATTTCCAAGTAGTACTTGTTTTCTTTGTTTTACACATACATGTAAACCCATTCAATCAACTGGTACATATCATCCATACTAGATGATAGAAACCATACAGGCTTAATGGAAAATCACAATATTACGCTGTCATTTCTTTATCCCAAAGACTTTCCTTTTTCTTTCATTATCTTCTTTAAAAAATTGGTTTCACATTTTTGATCTGGTAAAAATAAAATCCCTTCTTGTTAGGAGAATAATCACTCATCTTTAATAATCATATGGTGGTTATTACACAGGCAGGTGATTTTGGAGCATAAAACTCTAATACGTACTATTGAATGGGAAGATTTTATCAAGATTTCAGCTTTATTTAACCTAATCATAATCAAGGTAATAAGAGCACATACATGTAACTGAGCAATATTCGTAGGTGAATCTATGATTTAATAGAAGTGAGTGATTTCTGCTCCTCTAGATCAGCCTTTGCTCTTTGATTCTCAGCAGCTTCTCGATCCATGTCCTGTTTACGTACGTATGTATAGAAAGCAGATCCCCCAAGCACCATGAAATTACTACTCCACCACAATGCTGTCTTGATCTCCTGGAAGTATGTGATAGCAAGGATGGTCTGTGCACATGCCTTAGCTGTACCACTGATGTTATGTGTCAGAGGACTGGTTACCTTTATTTGAAGGCCAGATACATACCCAATAGCAAATCCAAACACCCCACTTATAGTCATCATACCCCAGAATTGAAGACTGGTAAGGTGTTCAAAGGTTTGTAGGATGGACACCTCACCAGAGATGAGTATGAGTGGAAGGAAGAGAACGATGGCATTCAGATTGTTGTAGAACATGAGACGCCAGATATTACTCTCTACTACTGGCAGCACCTTCTTGGTAAAGATAGCATTGAGGGATACACAGAGACTAGCCATAACACCATACAGCACACCAACATACGATAACGTACCTGTAAAAGACAAATAATACATCCGTCAGATGGTAAAGAAAAATGAAAGAGCAGTAGTGAAAAATACTTGTGCAGGATACTAAATGCTTTAAAATCAAGAGAAGATTATAGTGAAATTAATATTGATGTTCCAATTCAACTTTAACAATTCTGTCCAAGCAGTCTAAAGACCATCTAAAGGGTGATAAGGGCACATATCATATGAATGGTGACAATGGTATGCAATTCCTTTGAATTTACTCCTCTAGTTACACCAATTTCTATTATTATAATGACATTTGACTGCAGTAAAGGCAAAATTCCTATCATTCCTATTCAATTTGCTATACATTTTTAAAATCCAAAACATTTTCGAAAAAAACCATGTGAAAATATGAAATAGCACCTTTAGTTTACTTTGTAAATATTTTCTTGTATCAATAATAACTTACATCCCCAAGACATTTTAAAAACTAATATAAAAAAATTGGTTACTCAAACAGGTGGTAGAGAAAAGGAAAGAGCAATAGTGAAACATCCTCTAATGATAACAAAATTTATCTACAACAATTAATTCATCACTTGAAAATTGAATGGAGAAGTACTTACCCAATGATCCTTCCTGGTTAACCCCTAATAAGAAGCCACTGACGATAACAACACAGCACAAGATAGCTTTCATGGATGTAGTCTGCTTCAGCACAAAGTATGAAAGACTCTAAATGATACAACACAAGATAAAATACGCTCAAATTCAAAACATAAGTAACTTTCATAGATTACTTTCAATAAAGATGTAAGCACAACAAAAGTTTTAAGTACATATAGTGTATGTATTGTGTGAGAATAAGATGAGGAATCCATCTCTGTTTTCAAATGTAACAGACCGTCTTTATTACAGGTACATGAAGATCTATCAAGAGCACTTCCTCAGAACGATGTAATACTTTGCAATTATAGTCAGAATCACTAGGCTAATGAGACCACTCATGGTTAAGGCTACGGCAGATTTTATTAACCAACATTCTACCAATAATGCAATCAATTCCTTTTATCAGGTGATGGGGAGTTCATAGCAATGACAAGACTAATTACTCTTTATTTCACAACAAGTTTTCTGAACATTTTCACCTGCTACATCAGGAAAATTAGGATCTCCTGCAATGACTTTCTGCAAAAATTATCTTCAGCCAATCCTCAATTCTTAACTAAAAGCATACACTGTACGTACTTGTGTGTTAGGAAATTTACAGAGGATTTATTTATTTATTTTTAATCTGAGAGTGAAGCCATAAGGAGGTGACTATTTCATCCAAAAAGAAGCTTGCATATATTTTCTTACCACATTGAATACTGTTGTGAGTGACCTGCCCACATTATAGAATGCTACACCCACATTCTTGAGGCACAGGTTGTTGAATGTTATCATTCCCACAAACACCAAAGACAGCGGTAAGACCTGGAAAATAAGGCAAGAAAAATATAGGGAATAAAAGTACAATTATGACGTGAAATACATCCACAAAATATGACCAATGAACATGTATTCAATATGTAGTTACATTGTATGTTTCACCAGGACAGTATGAAATTGAAGACAGGAAAATGTAAACCTTTAAAATAAACTGTAAATTTTGAGGATTATTTTGGGTATAAAGTAAAGGGGTTATACATTCAATAATATATAACATTAAATCCTTATCTCAAAATTCTTCCACAAACTTTCCTGATGGTCTCCAACCAAATTCATTTTCATCAAACAATGAAATTACCTGATACTTTATAGATTATACTACATGTACCATTAAGAGAAGGTTTGGCTTTCTGATGTTACATCAAAACCTGTACGTAATAAATAGGTATGTATTATACACTCAATTCATCATGCACACTACCCTTACACATGAGCACACATTGCACCTGCACTCCCTTTACGCACACTGTGATGGACAATCTAAAATTGAAACATGCTTTGAATGAAAAATGTATAATTAATAATAATAATAATATTCCATGTTTATAAAGCGCTCAATACATCGATCCAACGATATGCCTAAGCGCTTTACAGATATATAGAACTTCAGCTTTGTTCTATGTAATCATACTACAGTGTATATATATTTTTGTTTCATTTAAACATATGTTAATGTTGTTGCTGACTTAGTTACAAATTTAGCAGAAACTGAATCCAGCACCATAAGTCTCTAACATTGTGTAACAATCAACGCTATAAGCTGTCTAGCTCACTTCAGCGTCACTGCGTGAGCGTAATGCCTGGCTTAGATTTACATGCAAGTCTATTGGGTAAACCACTGGTTTCCCGAAACATAGATTTTTATAAAATTAAAAAAGTGCAGTCATCATATAATTAACAAATGAAAGGAAGTTTAATATCTTAAAGCTTGGACTATTCAAAAGTGAAATAAACTTTAAAAAGCATCCATTATCTTTTGACCATTTGCAATGTAATTGTTTTCCTTTCATTTTAAGCCCTTTATCAAGGTTAGAATACCCTTTACTAATAATCATTATGCATTAAGAAGAGGAAGTATCCTATTTAAAAAGGATCTAAATGTACACATCTCAGTAAGGAGAGGGGGAGCAAGGCTATGATTCTGGATGCAATCCAATAAATACACTGTGATCTATAGGTACCTTGGAGCACAACTTATAAAGGGAGGCCAGGTTCTATATTTATTTCTCCTTGAAATACATATGAAATAAATGTTTGTCCACTGACTAAAATATCAACACAAAATAAAAACATACAAAAGTATACATTGTTCAAACTTCCTGATGATTGAAAAATACATTATCTCAAATAGGGAGATATCATCGTATGATAGATTATGAAGCCCCACACTGATCATTTAAGAGATAAAAGTATGTTCTCTATGGAAAGAAATTTCACCGCAACCATGTCTATTTTTTCTTTTTCAAAAAACATTTCATTTCCTGTTTTGAACTATATACTTGTACTTTTTTACTACATGAACAATTAACTTTAAATAACTAAAATATTCATCCTGATTGAAAGTGATAGTTGCCAACTAAGTTATTAATGAATTACAATTGTAAATGGGTTAACATTCAAGCCTTGAAATAAGAGGCAATTTTCCAAAAACAGATGACAACCAATTACACAAGTTAAATAAGCTCAAACATACAATGTTAATTTCATAATGCGAATACGATCAATTTCAATAACTTCTGAATCTTAACAAGATCAACAGAGAAGAATTTCATTAGGATTAAGAACATCAACTTGCACGTTAAACAGAATTTTAATCGAACTCCAAATACTAATGAGCAAAAAATAAATAAATACCCCCGGTAGTCAATTTCACAAACATCGGAAGTCAGAAGGACTTGGCAAGTCTATCCCAAATAGATTGAAACCGATATTGCACCTTGTGCACAAACCATCTGCCACACTCTCGGCGGAACACGAACAGTCTGTGGTTGGAAGCTAGCGAGACTCCTGCGCCAGCAGCAGATTTGCTCCACGCAAGATTACCAGAACTCGAAAGTTTGAGGTCGGAAGCTGGCCTGCTAAATTTTTGCCAAAACAATACTAGATGCTGCATGAGCGTGCTACCAAAAGGGGCATTTTCACGGTAAACACTTGCGCCTGGCCGTCTAGCATTAGATGACTTACGGGCGCAATTGGTGCCTCTACAAGCGCCAATTCGCACCCTGCAACTGCTTATTTCAAGGCTTGTTAACAGTTGATTTATAAGAAGAAAAAATGTCCTTTACAGGAATACAGCTCGTTCTAAAATGAAAAATCTGTAGCTAGATGAAAAAATATAACTGTTTAGAGTTTATTTGTTACACAAAGATCTTTAAAAAAGAAGGGTAGCCCAATCAGCAATTAAATACTGGTTTTCATTGAGGCCCTTCATAACACAAACAAGTATCTACATTTCAACAAATCAAAATATAAATAAATATAGAAATGACAAAATACGACTTTAAGTTCTTACCTCTCTGGTGACTTTGTAATCAAATTTCAATGGAGGGAATGAGACTAAATTTGGAACTGCTTTCCCTAGCAAACTGAGTATGAAACACAGCATAACAGTCACCACACATTGGTAGAAAGTCACAAAGAGGGGAGCATCAAGCTGTAAAGAAACATACAAGCATTTAGGAAAATTGTTAAATGCACAATTTTATGGAATTAAAATTCATTATAAAAAAAAATGCCTATTTTAGCAAAAGTATGTGCCATTGACAATATTGGGGAGGAATATTGGATGCAAAAATCACTAATCACGTGTATGCAGGTATATACATTGTCAATACAAACAATATTCTAGATAACTCTTAAACACATCAATAAATCATAATTGTCACCTGTTCAGATTCAAACCTGATCCTGCCTGGATTTGGAATCAGTGTAAGTCAAGTGGAACAAATATACAAAGGTGATTGACTAGCCACTTGATTTAAACTGAGCTTGAACTCAAATATATGAGGGAATATTTCCCTTTTTGGTACATAAATTCATTGTAATTATGGGGAAATTGTTCTTTGTTTAAGGTGGAAGCCCACTCTGCAGTTGATTACATTACTACAGTGTAAATTAAAATGTACAGACTTTACAGATGTACAAACCTTCAGAGATTTACTGCTCAAAAGATATTTGTTCATGAAAACAAGAGAAATGGAGATAAACCTGCAAATATAAAAGAGACAACAAAACAATTATTATCACACTTGAAGCTGTGCAAGAACAAGTAAGTTTAAAATGTTTGTTGTTGTGTCTTCATTTCCATGTTTGATGTTGTTTTTGTTATTTCTGTCAGGTGGGTAGATTTATCAAACTAAAAGTTGTACCCTGTGTACCCTAAATGTACATGTACCATTAAACACATTTTTTCGGTCAAGTTGGTGCATGTAAGTGGAACCGATGTATAATAGCCTAGGCCTAATTTTTTTAAATAAATGCATCGGATATGAATCCGGTAAAATTTAGTATTTTGGGCAAAGTTCTTTGGCCATGAATGGCAAAATGTTTGCACAGGAGCGCCTATGGTTGGCTTCTGGCTCTAAAGAGAGGAGCCGACCCTATCCAAATCAGAGGCTAATGAACGAAAGAGACAGAAAATTTTGGTCTAGATCAACCAGGGGCGTCGTTAAAGGGGGAGTGTGGGGGTGCGACATCCCCCCACCTGTCAGGATATTGTCGGTAAAATTACGCTGCTGTCGGGAAAAAAGAGAAAAGGGGGAGGGGAAGAGGAGAGGGAAAGGGAAAGAAAATGCAGAAGTTTGAAGTCGGTGAGATTTTTTATGTCGGTCGTCCTGCAATTTTGTGAAGAATTGTGACTTTTGATCGGACAAAGTAACATTTTTGAAAATTCACACAATGATTAAGAGTTGGTACAACGAATATCTTCTTTCTCTAATAATTTAATGAAATGTTGAAGCAAGGGGGAAACTGAATTCGGACAAGGATTAAGAGTCGAGAATGGTAGAACGAATCGTCTTCTTTCTTTAATAATTTAATGAAATGTCAAAGCTTCGCGGAAGAGGTGAAAATGAATTCAGACAAGGATTAAGAGTAATAATTTAATGAAATGTCGAAGCGAGGGGGAAACTGAATTTGGACAAGGATTAAGAGTCGAGAATGGTAGAACGAATCATCTTCTTTCTTTAATAATTTAATGAAATGTCAAAGCTTCGCGAAAGAGGCAAAAATGAATTCAGACAAGGATTAAGAGTAATAATTTAATGAAACGTAAAAACTTCTGGGCTTCGCGCAGGGAGAGAGAGGAACGGAATTCAGACAAGGATTAAGAACAGAGAATGGTACAACGAATCGTCTTCTTTCTCTAGTCTATACTAATTTAATGAAACGTCAACGCTTCCGCGCTTGGGCCACTGAATTCAGATAAGGATTGAGAGTGGAGTACGGTACAACAATTTATCTTCTGTCTACAACAATAACCATAATATATAATGAAACGCCAAAGCTGCCGCGCTTCGCATAGGATGGGGAAAACTGAATTTAGACAAGGATTAACTTAGAGTCGAAAACAGTCCAACGAATTGTCTTCTTTCTCTAAATGAAACATCAAAGCTTCCGCACTTTGCGCGAGAGGGAAAACTTAATTTAGCTCCTGGCCCTGGGTTTATAGGGTTAAATTTGTAGACATTGGGACATTGGCATTATATTTGTTGGTAATTGGAGCCTTTTTTGTCGGTAGTTGGTGGCCTCTACACCCCCCCCCCCCCCCCCCCCCCCCCTGAAAAAGGTCTATGCGACGCCCCTGGTGGGACAGGCTCAATTTACATTAATTTATTAAGATTACCATGATGATTAGACTACACTACAATTTATTGAACATCAACATCTTTCTTACCAGTAGGCACAAACTACCAAAAATATTGTCGTGTAAGTTTTGGTGCGGGTTGGTGAGGCTTTCTCCACTCCTGAGTCTCCTCCACGTCCATCTACCCCGTTACTTCCCCGTGATCCACTTTGATGGTCCGCCATTATTATGCGAGTACCGGTAACTGCCCTGGTCATGTCCGTGATGAGTACACTCACTCTCTTTTGCTTCTATCAAAGAACTTTCAGCTGTTTAATTATTCAGACTTGATGACGTGGTTGACAATTTTGTTTGTTTGAAGTTGTCTTTCCCGGACTCGGTACAGCGCACAATCACAATCAAATCTGTAAACCTCGATCGTACATGCGTTCTCGACGTTTACGTTCCAGATCTATGGAAAGCCAATGCGCGTGTAGTGCGTAACTCGATTGTCCATATATCACTAATCAGTGGCGGATCCAGGGGGGGGCCGAAACGGCCGCGGCCCCCCCTATTGGCGGCGCAAAAAAAAAAGAGGAAAAAAAAGAAAGGAGAAGAGAAGAAAAAAAGGAGAAGAGAAAAGAAAGGAGAAGAGAAAAGAAAAGAGAAGAGAAAAGAAAGAAGAGAGAGAAAGAGAGAGAGAGAGAGAGAAAAAAAAGAAGAAGATACCCCCCCCCCCCCACCTCACTCCCACTCCGGGGTCGGAGGGACTGATTTTCTGTTTCCAAAATTTCTGATAAAGGGTTACTTTTCACGCAACAAAGTCTGGCCCGTAATACACACAAATCCGGCCCGCACTGACTTTACACACCGAAGATAAAGGGGTGCTTTCAAACTAAGAGAGGGAACATACATGCGCGTACCCTAGATAACACTGAGTGGGTGGCGGGGGGGGGGGGGGGGAGGGGAAGAGAAAAGTCGGGTGAGAAAGGGGGAAAGACAAGGAAATGGCGCTAAGTGACAGTAACGACGAATAAGGGAAAAACTGTAATCGGGAGATTTGGGGTCATTCCAGAAGGCTTGGGAAACGTTATTGAATAGAGGGGGCCGGGCCGGCCGCATAAAATCTCGAGCCACGGATTCAAAGTTAAACGTTACAAACAGCCCCTGCTTTTTGAAAAAAATTGAAAAGGGCACAATATTTTGGATGTCTTTCAAATAGAAGCTATATACTTAGCAGCCAAATTTTAAATTAACGGTAGGGCCGCTTCACAACTCTTATTTTGCCCTTCATTTGGATTCAGCTCATAACAACTCGCTTGTGCTTATATTTAAACTCATGTTGGTAGTGATAACGGACAGCGGCGGCGATCCAGGGCCCGATAGAGGGACACGTCCCCCCGGAAATATATATATATATAGCTAGAAGGAAAATATACATGTAGCGGAAAGAACGTACATATTGGACTAAAGGATTTTCTAGAATGCATAATTATAGCATTCTACATTGCAAAATCTCGCTTGGTCGCTACGCCCCGGCCCTCGCCCGATAACACAAAACTAAGATATGACGCTCCCGGTCGCGATTATTTCATGGTTGGTATATAAAAAGATTTTTTTTCCCCTTTCATTTCTACTGACCTAATTGTATGCTATCACAATCATGATTGTTTCATTTTCCCTTTAAAGCATGCGTAGCTAGGGGCGGTAGGGGCAGTAAGGGGACATAGGACGAAAAAAGGAGCAGACAAAGAAACATTTTTGACAAGTCTATAACGGTACAACAAATCATCTTCTTTCTCTATTAACTAAATGAAACGTTAAGCTTCTGCGCTTTGCGTTGGAGGGGGAAACTGAATTCAGAGAAGGATTAAGAGTCGGGAATAGAACAACGAATTATATTCTTTCTCTAATAATTTCATTAAACTATGAAAGGGGGGAAATGAATTCAAACAAGGATTAAGAATCGAGAATGGGACAACGAATCATCTTCTTTCTCTCATAATTTAATAAAGCGTCAGAAGCTTACGCGCTACGCGCGGGAGGAGGAAAACTGAATTAAGAAAAGGATTTAGAGTCGAGAATGGAACAACGAATCATCTTCTTTCTCTAATAATTCAATGAAACGTCAAAGCTTCCGCGCTTCGCGCGGGAGGGGGTATAGAAACTGAATTCAGACAATGATTAAGAATCGAGAACGGTACAACGAATCGTCTTCTTTCTCTAATAATTTAATGAAACGTTAAGCTTCTGCGCTTTGCGCTGGAGGGGGGTAATCTGAATTCAGAGAAGGATTGAGGGTCGAGAATGGAACAACGAATTATCTTCTTTCTCTAATAATTTCATTAAACTATGAAAGGTCAAAGCTTCCGCGCTTCGCGCGGGAGGTGGAAAACTGAATTCAGACAAGGAATAAGAGTCGAGAATGGTACAACAAATCATCATCTTTCTCTAATAGTTCAATGAAACGTCAAAGCTTCCGCGCTTTGCGCGGAGGGGGAAAACTGAATTCAGACAATGATTAAGAACCGAGAACGGAACAACGAATCGTCTTCTTTCTCTAATAATTTAATGAAACGTCAAAGCTTCTGCGCTTCGCGCGAGAGAGGGGGGGGGGGGGGAGGAAACTCAATTCAGACAAGGATTAAGAGTTGAGAACGGTACAACGAAGTGCTTCTTTCTCTAATAATTTAATGAAACGTCAAAGCTTCCGCGCTTCGCGCAGGAGGGGGTATGGAAACTGAATTCAGACAATGATTAAGAATCGAGAACGGTACAACGAATCGTCCTCTTTCTCTAATAATTTAATGAAACGTCAAAGCTTCTGCGCTTCGCGTGGAGGGGGTATGGAAACTGAATTCAGACAATGATTAAGAATCGAGAACGGTACAACGAATCGTCTTCTTTCTCTAATAATTTAATGAAACGTCAAAGCTTCTGCGCTTCGCGTGGAGGGGGGGGGAACTGAATTCAGACAATGATTAAGAACCGAGAACGGAACAACGGATCGGCTTCTTTCTCTAATAATTTAATGAAACGTCAAAGCTTCCGCGCTTCGCGCGGGAGAGGGAAAGGGGGGGGGGGGAACTCAATTTAGACAAGGATTAAGAGTCGAGAACGGTACTCTTTCTCTAATGATTTAATGAAACGTCAAAGCTTCCTCGCTTCGCGCGGGAGAGGGGGGAACTCAATTCAGACAAGGATTAAGAGTCGAGAACGGTACTCTTTCTCTAATGATTTAATGAAACGTCAAAGCTTCCTCGCTTCGCGCGGGAGAGGGTATGGAAACTGAATTCAGACAATGATTAAGAATCTAGAACGGTACAACGAATCGTCTTCTTTCTCTAATAATTTAATGAAACGTCAAAGCTTCCGCGCTTCGCGCGGGAGAGGGGGGGGGGGGGGGGAGGATTCAATTCAGACAAGGATTAAGAGTCGAGAACGGTACTCTTTCTCTAATGATTTAATGAAACGTCAAAGCTTCAGCGCTTCGCGCGGGAGGAGGTATGGAAACTGAATTCAGACAATGATTAAGAATCGAGAACGGTACAACGAATCGTCTTCTTTCTCTAATAATTTAATGAAACGTCAAAGCTTCCGCGCTTCGCGCGGGAGAGGGGGGGGGGATTCAATTCAGACAAGGATTAAGAGTCGAGAACGGTACTCTTTCTCTAATGATTTAATGAAACGTCAAAGCTTCCGCGCTTCGCGCGGGAGGGGGTATGGAAACTGAATTCAGACAATTATTAAGAATCGTGAACGGTACAACGAATCGTCTTCTTTCTCTAATAATTTAATGAAACGTTAAGCTTCTGCGCTTTGCGCTGGAGGGGGAATCTGAATTCAGAGAAGGATTGAGGGTCGAGAATGGAACAACGAATTATCTTCTTTCTCTAATAATTTCATTAAACTATGAAAGGTCAATGCTTCAGCGCTTCGCGCGGAAGGGAAAAAACTGAATTCAGACAAGGATTAAGAGTCTAGAACGGTACTCTTTCTCTAATGATTTAATGAAACGTCAAAACTTCCGCGCTTCGCGCGGGAGGGGGGGGGGGCGGGGGAGAGCAGGGGGGAGCAGGGGGGAGAGCAGGGGGGAGGAACTAAATTCAGACAAGGGTAGGAGTCGAGAATGGTACAACGAATCCTCTTCTTTCTCTAATAATTTCATGAAACATTAAAGCTTCTGCGCTTCGCGCGTAATGGGGGGGGGGGGGGGAGGGGAACAGCGAGCTGCCCGAATATGAATTTGTTATATCTTTCCTCGTATATTTTGGTGATAAATAACACTTTCACAAAATACATATTATCCTCAAATTTTTGCTCGCTCGCTTCGCTCACTAACCGAATTGTGAAACCAGAAAATTACTTTTTCGGGCAAGAGGCTTCAGCCCCCCCCCCCGATGAAAATGTCAAAAAAATTACCGGTATGGTGCTTCTAATATGACCTCGTCAGTATTGGTATGTTGAGTTGAAAAACTGTCTGCGCAATTTTCAAATTTCCGGCCCCCCCTATTGGAAAATCCTGGATCCGCGCCTGCTGATGGTTCTTTAATAGAGGGAATGCTTGCGGGCTCGCTGAAAAATTTAAAGCCCCCCAATTTTTCTTGATTATGAATGAAGAAGCGAAGCAAGTGCAACCCATAGTCACCACCGCACCCTCCAAGCTCCACAACAATTCTTCTGGAGCTGCGCATGGGTAAGGGGTGGCCAGTATTATTTTTTTTTAAAGAAGGGAGGAGCACGGAGAGAAAGAAATGGGGGGGGGGGGGGGTGGGGTGGGGTGCGACACCCCCACCTGTCAGGATATTGTCGGTAAAATTGCGCTGCCGTCGGGAAACAAGAGGAAGGGGGGGGGGGGAGGGACAAAAGAGAGGGAAGGGAAAGAAAAGGGGGAAAGGGAAAATAAGGAAAGAAAGGAAAGAAAAGAGAAAAAAGGAAAAAGAGGGAGGAAAGGAAAGAAAGTAAAAGAAAGAGAAGAAATAAAAGGGGAGAAAAGAAGAAAAAAGAGAAAAGGGAAACAAGGGAAACGGGGGTGAAAGAAATGAGAGAGAGGGGGAGGTAAGAGCCTGAGAATTGAGGAGTGGGAGTAAAAGAGAGAAGGGGGTTGTTGGGTGGAGTCGTCTCGTCGAGGGACCGGGTCCCCGGCCCCCCCACTCAGAGGTCGGAATGACCGCATGCGTGTTGCCAAAATGTCCGGTAAAGGGGTACTTTTCGTGCGACAAAGTCCGGCCCGAGAATTGTAAAAAAAGGGGTGTATTTGACTTTTCACCCGGATATTTCTTTAAAAAGGGGGTGTTTTTCTTTTTTTCTCTCATCTCTTTGGACTCCTGAGAAATTATTCCGAATATAGGGAGTACATTGAGCATTTTTCCTGATTTAGGGGGGTCTCCAAGGCAGGAAAAGCACGCGAAAAGCCCGCGAAAGGGGGGTTCGGAAATGTTGGCAGTCCTCAGATAGGGGGTGCTTTCAAAAAAAG